AGGCTGAAGCAAGAGACTTGAGAGCATCTTGGGAAAATTATCAAATACATTAGAAAGGGACAGAACTTAAGCTGACATAGCTCAATGGTACAGCCCTTGCCTAGCTTACACAAGGGTATGGATTTCATCTAGCTAAGCATGCTGTTATACGTATGTAATCTCAGCTCTTGGGAGGCTGAGCTAGGAAGATTGAAAAGTACAGGACCTTCCTGGGCTTACATAGAAAGGGTCAGAACTAAATACAGATATGAAAGTATTGTCCAAAAATACATAGATGTTTAATTCTAAAGTTGTGTTGCACAGATTCTGTCAGAAATTTTGAACCACGTCAATAAATTCCAAAACCTTAGTGGGTAGGGTTGTGGCTCAGCTGGTAGAGTGTTTCCCTAGTGCACTCAGAACTGTTGGGTCTATTCTTACACCATACAGACTGAGTATGCGAAAGGTCAATTTCAGCTACCCAGGGAGCTTCAGGACAGCTGGGGTACATGAGACCATGTCTTGAAGAAGAATAAAGGAATACTTCAGCCTATTATCTTTTTGCTCTCTTCATATCAATGCAGATCAACACAACACATTTGTTTTTAGAAGCAATTACTCTCCTTGTGACTAAATGCCTGACAAAGAAGCACATCAAGGGAGGGAGGATGTTGTTGCTGACACTAAATGGGGCTGCTGTGCGGAGCTTGGGGTGGAGAAGGCAGCAGGGGTATGAAGTGGCTGCACAGCTTACACTAGCTTCACACTCAGGGCGGTCCTCTTGCCTCAGCCTCCCAAGTGCTAGGATTTGCAGGCATAAGTCACCAACCCTGGTGAGGTCATGTTTCTTTTAAGGCTTCTTCATGAGAAGAAATAGCTTTTAGGTTGAAATGACAATCACCAAGTTTGTTCCTTGGAAGGTTCTGTTTTTTGGGCTACATATTTATGCAAAATACTCATGAATCTTTTCAGAAGAGTACCAGTAGGATTTCACTGGCTGCTTTAGCATAGACAGAGAAGCCTAGGTGTGAGTTGTGCGAGCTTTCCACTGATCTCACTAGACTGTTTTCCTAAGGCACCAATAGATTTGGCTCTGCTTTTAAACTGAATTTATAATGGAATGTAAAACATGATTTTCTCTTTGATTTTAAAAGTTTTATGAAAAGGCTGTATGGTGGTAGCCTATAATCCCAGCTTTCAGGCAGAGGCAGGAGGCCAGCCTGGTCTGCAAATCGTGTTCCAGGACAGCCAGAGCTGTTACACAGAGAAAAGAAAAACCCTGTCTTGAAAAAACAAAACAAAAAAGTTCTGTGAAAAAAGTAATTATTTTCACTCCCCTTACTTCCTGTGACCCTGAAAAAATGGAAAGTTTTGACGGGAGGGCTGTTGTATACGTGATAACAGCATAGTGCATTTGAATTACTAGTTGGAGCGAGTTTGATAGAAACAGCATTTACACAGTCATCTCAGTTTTTTTTTTTTTTTTTTTTTTTTTTTTTTTTTTTTGCTGGAATTACTATTGATTGACTCATGGTGGCACCAGGTGGTCATTACTCAGACTTTTTATTTAGGGGAGGATAAAGACTGGATTCTTCTGCACATGAGCCGGAAAGGAATGCCCCTTAACCTGAATCCTGGCTAGAAGTTCCTGAATAACTTTCAGGTGCCATGGCTATCTGCAAACAGTTACTGTATTCCTGTGGGCATGTGACTGAGGGCTGATCCTGTCTCCTTTCCTTGGAGGCAGTTTGCCAACCAGGTGCGTTGTGAAGAGTTATGAAAGAGAGAGAAGATGGAGCAGCAGGAGTTAGTTGTCATTTCGTTGAGTCACTCGCAGTGAGTGCTACTTACTAGAAAACAGTTGGCACATTTCAAACGCTTCGGTGGCCTCAACTTCTGTCCGCCTGTTCCTACATCACTGATGCCTTGGTTCCTTAATAGAGCTCAGCAGGCATGTCCATGTGTGTAAATGGTGCTCTCCTTCATTAGAAGACTAAGGCTTTTTAATCTCTTTTATTGTAACTATAAAAAGCAACTACATTCTGCTCATGAAAAAATAGTAGAGTAGAAAAAAATTGGTGACCAGGGAGGTTTATTAATAATTTAATTCACTTAATCTTTTTGCCTTATTTGGCAAGCACTGACTTAGATTCATTATAGAAAGTACACTGTGGCCACTGCCCTGGCCAACATTTCCTGGAACCTTTTTTTTTTCTTCCCAGCAAAATATTGAATTGATTAAATCATTGGTTTAATAGGAAGGGACTTTGACAACAATTTTAATCATTTATGTAGTAGCTCGTGGTAATTTCTATGTCTGTGTATATGGCATATATATATGAATATATGTTTTCTTGTGTATGTAAGCACCCACATACATATGTATGCATGTGTGGGTACAGATGTAAACTCACGTGAGTATACATGCATATGGAGGCCAGAGTTCGACATTGTAGGTCTTCCTCTGTCACACTCCATCTTATGTGTGGTGTGTGTGGTGTATGCATGCAGGTGCCAGAAGGGGATATCTGTAGTGGCATCTTGTCCTGACAGTGGTTTTGGGGTAGTGGCCACGCCTTAGGGTGTGGCTTCAGTATGTATAAAGAAGGGGGGCTTCTGAAGGGCAGAGGCTGCATCTCCAGGAGCAGAAGACCATTGCAGTTAGTTATATCATTGTGTCAGTGCTCCCCAAATAAATACCTGTTAATTCTTTATCTGGGTATTTATGGACCTTCTTTAATCCACCTTCATTTGACACCCAGTGTTAACTTGTTGCTTTCCATCTATTTTGTTGTTGTTATTATTTTTTTGTTTATTTTTGTTTTTTCTAGACAGGGTTTCTCTCTGTAGCCATGTCTGTTCTGGAACTTGTTTTGTAGATCAGGCTGGCCTTGAATTCAGAGATCTGCTTGCCTCTGCCTCCCTAGTGCTGGAATTAAATGTGTGTGGCACAATGCTCCAGTTAGTTGCTTTTCATCTTATTGAGGCATAGTCTCCTACTGAACCTGAAGGTCCTCATTTCAGCTGGTTGGTTAATGAACTGTAGGTATTTCTCTTGATTTAATCCTTATAACTATGAATAAGAATCTCCATTCGCAAGTATGCCCTCATTCTTTATTTTATTTTTAGTTATTTAGTTATTTAGTTTTTTGAGACAAGAGTTTCTCTGTGTATCTTTGTAGACCAGGCTGGCCTCAAATTCACAGAGATCCTCCTGCCTCTACCTCCCGAGTGCTGGGATTAAAGCATGTGCCACCAACACTCAGTTCCCTCATTCTTTTGTTTCTGATTTAATCATGAAACAAAATGATCTGTAATCCCTCACTGCTGTCACATGAAGGACTTGGCATTTCTTTTCTGTTACTCTTTAGAGTCCTCCTGTGCAAACAAATATGATGTAGGTTAGGTTTTACCATATTTATTTTTTCCTCTACCCCCAGATAGGGTCTTTTTTTGAGACAGGTTTCTTTATGTAGCTCTGGCTGTCCTAGAACTCACTATGTATATCAGGATGGCCTCATACTTGAAGACATTTGTCTGCCTCTGCCTTCTGATTGTTGAGATTCAAGGTGTGTACCATCATGCCTGGCTAGGAATAAATTTTCAAAATTTATTATGAGCATAACATTTTTTCCTCATACAAGTGAGAGTTTAACAATTCTCATAATCACTTGGAATGTTAGAATCATTTGTGGTCCGCATATTTTTTTCTTGTCTCCATTGCTCTTGCTCTTTTCCTTGATGGACATCTTTCATTTGAAACAGGGTCTTATTGTATAAAGCTAGACGCCTTTAACTTGTCATTCCTCCTACCTCAACATCCCAAATGCTGGGGTTTCAGGCATGTACATTGTCTTTTGCTTCTAGGTTACATAAGCAAAGCTTCAGATTAATTCTGTTTCTTTCTGGGACTGTAACTCAGTGCTTGCCTAACATGCATGAGGCATGCTTGTGGGGTAGGAGGTTCAGGTTGCTACAGTGTGCACTGGACTACTTATATCTAGCATTGGTAGTTTAAGGATAACTACATTGTGGTCCTGACTATGAGGAACTTCTAGACTACTAGTAAAGTGCGAAGATTATTGCAGTTCAGGGTTGTGTATATACCAAGACCATTGACTAGTCTAGCGATTCTCAACCTGTAGGTCTTGACCCCTTTCACAGGGTTCACCTAACACCCTAGGAAAACACAGATATTTACATTATGATTCATAACAGTAGCAAAATTATAGTTATGGTATAACAATGAAAATATTATGATTGGGGGGTCACCACAACATAAGGAACTGTATTAAAGGGTCACAGCATTAGGAAAATTCAGAACTACTGGTCTAGTCCATTCTTTTTATTTTATTGTTTGCTTTGAGTATTTTTGAGACAGTTTTCCCTTGTAACTCAGTTAGTCTAGAACTTGAGTTTTCTGCCTCTACTTTTCAAGTGCTGGTTTGTACTACAGTGTGGCAGATGATCAGTTTGCCTTTCCAGTAATGTCTCCTGATTCTTGTTCCTATTTCTCACCTCTACCATACTTTCTCTGGCTCCCTCTGGACCCACCCTCTCTCTCTCTCTCTCTCTCTCTCTCACATACACACACACACACACACACACACACACACACACACACACACACACACACACGCACCCCACACACACACACCAGGAAAGGTGTTCTACAATGTGGGAGGATGGGGAGGTAACAAATAATCAGTCCATATACAACACAGAAATTCTAGAATAACTGGATGCTTTGGAAGTAAGCTCATATCTGAAATATGCCTTTGAGACGGGTTTCTACCCCCATTCGACGGTTCCTCCGGACCCCACTGATGGTCTAGGGTTTCTGCTGTACTTTGGGCCAGGCTCCCTGTCCTGTGGCGTTGAGCCTAGAGGCTTCCAACCAAGCTCAAAGTCAGGAAAAGGAGGTGTGGGCTTTTGGGCTGTGCCCTTGGGAGCCAGAATGTGGTTGGCTGTCTCCTCCCCTTCCGCACTAAAGCTCTACACACTGTGCACTCTGGAATGACAGGCATTCCTGTGTGAAGAAAGCCGGCGTGAAGACATTTGTGAGCGCCACAAATACCCGGTGACCGGGATACAGACAACAGAAACTCCAGATCTCATGCTGTCCCCTGGCATTTGGTGGTGATACAGGGCTGCTGGTCCCTATGTGGATCTGTCTTTCAAGAGAAGTTTGCTTTTGTTCGGTACAGTTTGCTGTCGTGGGATACATCTAAGACAATTATAATCATGGGGCAAGCTGATGTCTCCAGACCGGTAAATCCAGATGCAGTTGGTGAGTAATAGAAGGCAGAAAAATAGACGGCTTGATAGAAAGGAGGCAGGTTTACAGCTGAAGATGGTGTCTCTTAGGAATTGGAATGCAAGACTTTGGCATATTTATAAATGTTTGGGAGAAGTGAATGAAAACCTTTAAGTTTTTTCCACTCTGCTAAATTTGTTTATCTCACAATCTTGTTTACTTATTCTCCGGAGTTCGGTGTTTTAGATTATATTGCTAGGAAGTTACCTAGTTGTTAATCATTGTCTTTGTAGAAAATAAAAGTTACAGGAGCTGTTAAATAGAGCTTAGAGGTATTTTACTGGTATTTTGCAGGTTTGGGCAATTGTTACGTGTGATCTAAAAATAAAACTGCTTAATTATAAAAACAAGGCCATTTTAATATTGAGTTTTAGACTTACAGCTTTTCCAAGCCAGTCCTGGGCTTTCTCCATTGTACCAGTGTTAGCTCCTCAGAAGGTGTTGTGCTCTATGAACTTCTGAAGTGTTACTGTCTCAGGGGCTAGCTCAGACTGACAGCCCGGGGAATTGTGAGGATGGCTCACAGTTGGAAGTATGAAATGATGAGGTTGACTGTCATCTTTGTGAGCACATTTTCTTACCTTTGTAGGAGTTTGTGTTTGATGATGATAATAAATCGGGGGAAATGGTTATTAAAAAAAAAAAGGTTGAAAAAAGTCTAGTAGGAAAAAGCATCTAGGTTATTTCTGGACAAAGTGCTGTTTAGGAAAAAGTGTATAGTTAACTGGTTTAGGAAATATCAGGAAGCCTATTTAATCTGTTACGTATTTATTTATTTGTTTGTTTATTTTTGCTTTTTTGGGACAGGGTTTCTCTGTGTAGCACTGGAGCTTGTCCTGGCACTCACTCTGTAGACCAGGCTGGCCTTGAACTCACAGAAATCCATCTGCCTCTGTCTCCCAAGTGCTGGGATTAAAGGCATGTGCCACCACTGCCTGGCTTGTTTTTATTTTGTTTTTCTCTCTCTGCCAAGAAATAAAAAGTCTAAGGTGGGTATGATGCACACCTTTAATCCCAGTATCAGGGAGGCAGAGGTAGATGGCTCTCTGCTTTTAGTTCTACATAGTGAGTTTCAGGCTAGCCAAGCCTATACAGAATGAGACGCTGTCTTAAAACAAAAACAAACAAAAAACAACAAAATCCCAATAAGGTAAAATTAAAACGATGGTGACTAAAGAAAAGCATAAAAGTTTGGGGAAACAGGTAATGCCTCAGATGTGTGTCATAATTTGTTACAGTTTAGTTTCTGATCTCCTGGGGAAAGTGTTTTTCAGGTTTTCCTGACACTGAGCACATGGGTGACAGAACACTTACCCAGTGAGACTGGAGAACTCGAGTGAACTGATCCCATTGCTCGCTTTACTTTGACCACTAGGCTAAGGCTTTGTAATTTCAGTACTTTACTGTTAAAAAAATAAATAAAATGCTTTATAGAAAGGGTGTACAGCAAAATATAAGAAACCCTCTAGGACCACTTTGCAGCTTTGGAAAATAGAGGTAGGCTGGGCAGTGGTGGTGCACACCTTTAATCCCAGTATCAAGGAGGCAGAGGCAGGCGAATGTCTGTGAGTTTGAGGCCAGCCTGGTCTACAGAGTGAGTTCCAGGACAGCCAGGGCTACACAGAGAAATCCTGTCTCTAAAAACCAAAAACAAACAATAACAAAACCTACAGAGGTGTGGTAGGGTACATGTTAGTAACCCTAGTAATTAGAGACAGAAGCCAGAAGATCAGGAGTTCAAGTATTATATTAGCAAGTTTTAGGCCAGCCTAGGTTTTAGGAGACAGACCTTGTCTCTCACACACACACACAAAAATTCAGTTAAATAAAATAGAGATACCCTGTCTTCATTAGGGTTTGCTGTTGCTGTGAAGCGACACCACAACCACAGCCCCTCTTATAAGGAAGACATTCAATTAGAGAGTGTCAGCTCACAGTTTCAGGGTTTCAGTCCATTATCATCACGATGGGGAGCATGGTGGTACAAAGGCAGATGCGGTGCTGGAAATGAGAGTACTACATCTTGCAGACAATAGGAAGTTGACTGAGGGAAGCTTGAGCAAAAGAGACCTCAAAGCCTGCCCCCACAGTGATGCACTTCCTCTAACAAGGCCATGCCTCCTAGTAGTGCCACTCTCTTTGGGGGGCATTTTCTTCCATACTACCACATACCCCAACTTCTGCCTCCTCTCCCTTCTAATGACATGTTGTTTTTTTGCTCCTAGAACCAACCTTCTCCTGTATGTGATAAATTACCACGTTTGCATGGTCTGCTTTTCCTTGGGGTTTTCTTCTTTAACAAATACAGTATGGTCTCAAGAAATGCCAGGCTTTTAGCCACACCATGGAAATGAAAGGATTTTAAAAGCATCAAGTTGTTGAGCTTGTACAATTTAATGATGTGACTTTATTTTTCCTTTTTTCTTATAATCTTTTTTTTTTTTTTTTAATTTATGTTCTTTGGTCTTTTGCCTGTATGAGGGTGTCAGAAGCCCTGGAACTGGAGTTATAGATAGTTGTGAGCTGCCATGTGGGGAACCTGGGTCCTCTGGAAGAGCTCTTACCACTGAGCCATCTCTCCAGCCCCGTGATGTGGCATTCTTTATGAAGAATATCCATCTAATCTCTATAATAATCACATTTGTGCATGTGTGCTTTTAAGAAACAAAGGGCTGAGTTCTATTCAAAGTTCTCAAGAGTATACTCTCAAGATGGAGGGTGCTCATCTTAGCTGCAGAGAGCCCTGGGTTCAATCCCTGGCAGTACATAGATTTGGATGTGGCATGTACCTGTAATACCAACATTCAGGTGGAGGCAAGCAGATGAAGTCAAGGTTATTTTTGGCTATATACTGAGTGCCAGGTCTGCCTGGGCTGCCTGGAACACTGTCCCAGGAATAAGAAGTCAGTTTTGCAACTAATAACTAACAAAAAAATTTTTGGAGAATGGAGATAGATGTAGTTTAGTTTAAAGAACTTTCTAGCATGCAGGAACCCCTGGATTAGATTTGATCCCAATTATGGCAAAAAATTTTTAAAATTATACACATAATAATAATCATAAATAAAATGTTATGTTTTTTGTTTTGTTTTGTTTTCAAGATAGGGTTTCTCTATATTGTTTTGGAGCTTATCCTGGAACTTGAACTCACAGAGATCTTACTGCCTCTGCCTCCAGAGTGCTGGGATTAAAGGCATGCACCACTAAAGCCCGGCTATAAATAAAATGTTTTAATTAAAATTTTTTTATCTAGGTGTTCATAGCACATGCTTGTAATCCCAGCACTCTGGAGACAGAGGCAGGCAGATCCCTGTGAGTTTGAGGCCAGCTTGGTCTACAGAGCGAGTTCCAGGACAGTTAGGGCTATGTAGAAAGACTGTCTCAAAAACCAAACAAAGAAAAATGTAAATTTTACTTGTATGGGTGTTTTGCCCTGTGTATCTGTGCACCACATGTGCTTGGTGTCCACTGAGGCCAGAGGAAGACATTGGCTCTTTTGAATCTGCCGGTACAGGTAGGTGGGAGTAGGAGTCAGACTTATGTTCTCTAGAAGTACAGCGGTGCTCTTAACCGCTGAGCTGTCTCTCCAGCCCTTGGATACTAATATTTTTAGGGAGTGTTTCAGTAGGCAGCTGTTTAGAAGATTGCATTAGATCCTTTAGAAGGTGAAATATGCTAAGATATGTAGTTCAGTGTTTTAGACCTTTAATACACTTAAGTCTGTTCAGTCTTTTTTTTTTTTGTTTTGTTTTTTTCTTTAGAAAAGAATGTGTGTGTGGTGTTGTGTTGTTCAGATGCTTGTATTCGTAAATGCGTGTGTGTGTGTGTGTGTGTGTGTGTGTGTGTGTGTGTGTGTGTGTGTGTGGTGGCCTGAGGTAGATGTCAGTTAACTTCTCCGTCACTTCTCTCTCCATTATCTTATTGTTCTGATTTGCATTTTATGTTTTAGTTATGTGTGTGTTTATATATATATATATGTGGGGGGGGGGCATGTGTATACCAGAGTGCTTTTGTGGAAGTCAGAGGAATCTCTTCTCTACTTCCACCCTGTGGGACCCAGGAATCAAAGTCAGGCATTATGATTTGTTGACTAGAGTCTACCTGCGGAGCCATTTTCAATATGGGCCTACCCAGTCCCACCCATTTTCCTTTTTTTTTTTCTTTCTAAAGTAAAGGTTTCATGCTGGGGTCCTGGTGGTGTGTATTTTTAAACCCAGTACTCAGCAGGCAGAGACAGGCAGATGTTTGTGAGTTCAGGCCATAGGATCTGCATAGCGTTGGAGGCTAGCCAGAGCTCCATAGTGACCTGTGGTGGTTTGATTGGGGTGCCCCATAGAGTCATGTGTTTGAATCCTTGGCTCATAGGGAGAGGCACTATTAGGTGTGGCCTTGTTGGAGTAGGCATGGCTTTGTTGGAGGAAGTATGTCACTGGGGCTGTGCTTTGAGATCTTAAGCCAGGCCTGGTGAGTCCCAGCTTCCTGCTGCCTTTGGATCCGGATGTAGAACTCCAGCTACCTCTCCAGCACCATGTCTGACTGTATGCCACAGTTCTTCCCACCATCATGATGGTGAACTAACCCTCTGAACTGTAACCCAGCCCCAGTTAAATGTTTTCCTTTATAAGAGTTGCCATAGTTATGGTGTCTCTTCTCAGCAACAGCAACCCTAACTAAGACAGACACTTTGTCTCAAAACAGACAGACAAAAGATAAGATCTCATTTTGTAGCCCTGGCTAGCCGCCTTGGAAATCCCTATGTAGATCAGCCTGATCTCAGACCCACAGAGATTTGCCTACCTCTTCCTCCCAAATGCTGGGATTAAAGGCAGATGGCACCATACAGGTCTCTCCTCACCCCTTTTAATAAAACATGTTTAAAAATGTGAGTGTGGGTGTGTGTACACATATGTGTGTGTGTTGTATGTGAATGTGATGCGTGCGTGCCACAGTGCCTGTGTGGAGGGGTCAGAGGA